GCAATGATGGTGCCAACTTGGGCCAGTGAAGCAACGTCCTCCACAACTAGACTGAAGAACAAAAGGACAGCAACTTGTCTGTTCCCCTTCCCTCAAGTCCCCAGAGCTAGTTCCCATCCCCCAATTCCCCAATAAAAATCTTAAAAAAAAATAAAAATAAAAAAGAAATGGAAGCTGCTCTTTTACTCTTTTTTTTCAAAAGCATTTCACAGTGATGGATATGATTAAGAGAAAGTAGGCATAGCACTTCCTCTCCCTCTGTTGTGGAATACAGCATCCCTTTCTTTGGGGGAGATACTCCTTTCATTTATGTTATATTCAAAATGGAGCTGTTACAGATCCTGCCTCCCTGGCCACCCAGCGATTGGCCCAAGGGAGAGTGTTTTGTCTAAATTCAGTTATTAACTTAGACACTGAGATTTTAAAACTTGGAAACAAAAAGAGCTAGTCTCAGCGTGGGAGCTCTCCACAGTTACATTCTCCTGTCATCTGGAAAAAACTGATTTGAAAGAAGAAAACTTAATGGAGCAGAAAGAAGATGCAAATGGGATCCATAAGGATTTGAAAACATTACAAGTCATGCCTGAGCCTCAGCTCATTGCTGGGTTCCTTAAGCGCAAACTTGCTCATAAGCTTCTTGGGTTTCTGAACTTAACTGGAAGTCCTGGTAAACATGATCGAGTCGGGGGCGTCAAGGTCTGTTTACTCTAGTTGAAAATAGGCCACATACCTGACACTCCAGGCTTCCTAGAAATCCACCGGGAGATCTGAATCATAGAAAAGAGAGACACCACTGTGAAGCAATATGGAAAATAAGTGTGACAGGCATTTAAGTTCAAAACAATCTAATTTGAGAACTACTTATTGGCCTTTATGAACACAAGGTATAAATGAGATCTTGCTTTTTTGGCTTATAGAATTTTAGTGTTTGAAGGGACGTTAGAGATGGTCAAATCTAGCGTCTGTGCAGATGGTTTTGTCTGAAGATAGAATTTTGTGGATTTAGTCCCATTCTAGGAAACAGGAGCAGACAGCAATTTAACTCAAATGGATCTACTTGGGTTTCATTACTCTTAAGATTCAAGAGACTATAGACTATAGCCTGGGTCTGGGTTTTTTTATTTATGGATCCTCACCATTATTGATTGTATTTTACTACTATCACCTTTATTTTGAATACACTTGTTGTATATAAGGGACAAAATTTAGAAATAGCAATATTTTTTACATAGAGCTAATAATTTTTTCTATCACAGATGTTATTTTCATTTTACAACTATCAGGTGGTACTTACTTATTAGCTACATTTCAGTTCCTAGAAAATTGTGTGAATAAAGTTATTAAAAGTAAAACTTTTAAGTGCACTGAATAACTTAGATTTTTTAGTAAAGGAGATCACTTGTTAACATTTCACAGTATAGTGTATTAGAAATATTCCTCAATGTTAACAAATACTTAACATCTGATACGACACAGTAGTGACACGTTTATCCTCTTCCTTGAGATCACTGAGAAAGAAATAGAATGAAAAATAGAATTAGTAGTTTAAAAAAGATTTAAGATAAAGAACATTCTCAAATAACCAATTTGTAATAAAAATACCTCCTAAACGCTTTGACATTTGGAATAAAATGAAGGACAGCCCGAGGTTTGACATGCCTCCCCCAACCTTGTCCCAGACGCGGATTTCTCTGAAGTGTCCCTCTGATCATCTTAGGCCCCAATCCTATGTAGCAGAGTGGCAGGACGTGTAGAAAGAAGCCACACTAAGCCCCTGTTTGAAGCCTGGAAACCAGGGAGAGGGAGACGGCCCCTAGGAAAGTCAAGACATGTGATGAGGGTATTTTAGGTAACATTCTGAATTAAAGCTGCAGTCACCTTCCTCCTCCCTGCACTAGTCAGCAAATTGCTGACACGCTTCAAATGTGAGTAATCAGGCACCATACATGCATCTTTATAGGTGCATGTGTTATATTCAATTGTAGAGTATTAAAAAAATGGCCCAGAGGGGCCGGCCGAGTGGCGCTATGGTTAAGAACTGGCTTGGGACACCAGAGGGTCCCAGTTCGGATCCCACATATGAGGGCCAATGACACTGCCCTCCACAGCTAAGATGCTGAACAACAGCTCAACCTGGAGCTGGGCTGCTGGGAGTCGCCGGCGACGGCGTAGGCTGCAGCCCCTGTGGCAGTAGGTTGCCATGGGCTACCGTATGTAGCCAGCAGCCAGCGTCAGCGGCTGTCCAGAAGCCGGCGACGGATCTGCCTCGCCCGGGAAGAGCGCAATGATGGTGCCAACTTGGGCCAGTGAAGCAACATCCTCCACAACTAGACTAAAGAACAAAAAATGACAGCAACTTATCTGTTCCCCTTCCCCCAATTCCCCAGCACTGTTCCCATCCCCTGAATTCCCCCAATAAAAAAAATTAAAAAAAAAAAAAATGGCCCTGAAACAAAGGCTTGATGCTGCAAATAGAAATCCCTGTGTCTCGGAGGAAATGGACAAGATATGTAACACCAAGACATTTGTTAGGTTAGGGAACTTGAGGATAAAGAATGAACACCGACCCAAAAATAAAATGAAAATTTAATTGACTAATCACACCATAAATCATAAGGAAATGTAATTAAAGCGGTACCACTAAAAGCAGGCCAGAAAAGATCATAGCTGTCGTTTTAACTGCTTCAAACTACTCAGCGCTTTAGAAAACGAGAATTCCCCGATTCATTTTATGAATCCAGCATAACTTGAAACCTGATGACTACAGACCAGCCTCACTTGTGATTTGGTATCAGGAGATTTTTGAGCCTTACTGCGTTATATGAAATGATGAGAAGAAAAATGATTGTGTTGACAGGGCAGGGCAGGGAAGGGCCGAGCA